ATGAACTTCGTTATGGAGAACAGTGTTTTAGAAAGGTAAAGTAGCAAACTTACAATTGCTTTCAGAAACTCTAAAAAAAGAAAGTAATACTTTAATACTTTTGTCTCCTAATTGAATTTCTGTTTTTGTTTTCAAAAGTTTTTAAGAATTTGTAAAAATCACAAAACTTTTAAAAACACTATAGTACGACGGTTGTTCGAAAAGTTCGTGGACGATGTCAATCTAATCTATATTACTCACTAGAAATTTAAAATAAGTACAATATAATATGTTAAAATATTTGTGTTGTTAAAGTGTGAAGTTTCATTCCATTCAATTTAACAGACATCAATTTACTTCAGTTTATAATCAATATGTTTTGTACCCGCGGAGCACACTTAATGGCAATGTAACGTCAAAACATGGTGTCAAGAATTTCTGAAATATACTATCCCTATATATTCATAGAGTATAATCCAATGCCCATTCATTAAATTCTTTTTCTAATATTTGAAATTTAATTTTTAAGAATTGCTCTCGTTGCATAATTTGCTTTGTTAAGGTTTTAATTTCTTTAATTACTTAACTCTACTTTCACAGGATAAGCAACTCTGAAGCGCCTATTTCTTTTCGTGACGTTCCAACTTTTCAAAGTTTTTTTTTTTCAGATTTTACAGTTAAACAGTTTCTTCACAAATTGTCCTCATCCGATACTGAGTCTCTGTCACTCAAATACTGCCTGTACTATTTGTACAAACATGCACAACTCACTTGTGACATATTTCTTGATACCTCCGACATTTTTATTGTTTATTCAGAATTTTTCCAGAGTAAAACACAAAATTGGATCGTTATCTGCTGCTCTGTGACGTTTAAAAATGTCATCGTTTTTGTGGTTTTCAATAAGGACTACCAATCTTCTGAAGTCGATTGCTTTTCAATAAAGTAAAATACAAAGCCATCATTTTTTGTACGAATCTATGTAACAATTTTTAATTTGAATGTCTAGGTTGTATCAGCTTGTTTGTCGTTTTTGCTCCATTTTACAGAGAATATAACTTAAGACATTATTTATTGTTTTGTTTGTAACTTACTAATTTTTGACCTGCTCCGCGATCCGATTTTTGCATTTTCAAAATCTAGCTAAGTTTTGAATAAATCGGAATATTTTGAAAAAAATTAATACAAATCATTTGGATTTATTGTTAAAATATTTCTACTAAATTTGGATAACACATGACGTCAATAAAAAAAGATATGACAGTTGTCCACGAACTTTTCGTACAACCCTCGTATAGTTTTGATTTTTCAACCTTTTATAAAACCGTTATCGATTTGATAAGGAAAATTATAATCTAAAATGTCGTAATTTTACTTCCTTAATGAATAATATTTTTTCTAAAAATACTAGTTATAAAAAAGAATCATGAAAAAGAACTTGTTAGGTCAATATATAAGACATGATGCACAACTGTCCAATACTTACTGTCAATAAATGTAGCTTGTTAAGGTATATAAATTTTTAACATATATAAAGTTGACGTACAAATTAATCATGAAAATATGTTTTACAGAAAAATAAGTACCATATTGAACATTGTATATTACATTTTAAAATATAAATTTGGAGGCAAAGCTATAAATCTCAAAAACTGAAATTTTAAAAGAACTAGATTTAAAAACAAAATTACAGTTTACTTGCGTGTGATACGTGCCTAGATTCAAGCTACTCTTTAATCTAAAAGTGTGGAGTTTTGCATTTTCTTAACAAAGAAATTATTTCTTTCCAAATCATGTTTTGATTGTTTTAAGCTATAATTTTCAACTCTTTTCGTTTCAGATAATATCAAACACTTTCCAATATAGTGAATAAGCATTAAAGAAGCTTTAAAAATATTTTAATAAACGACAATATCTTTCTTTCATGTTTTTAAAATGTCCCTTAATTTCAGACCATTATTTTTGTTTTCTTTCCACACAAAATAATTTCAAAGGTTGTGTAGATTGACAGTAGTACTGAAAACTGTATTTTTTTAATACTAAAAAAATTTTTCTGTTCATCCACACTTAATCATTATTTGTGTATATATTCCTAAGAAAATGATATCTTATCTATATATCTTAAGCAAAATGTTAGCTCGCTAAAACCAATTCTGTAATGTTAAAATTAATATTTTTCTTTGCATATACAGCTGAACATTATCTAAATGATGAGAGTCAAATTATCTGATAGTTATTTCCATTCGTATGTCAACTCCATATATCCTAGTAAACTGGAAATAAAAGACACCACAAAGACTGCTTCAACATATTTTCATATTTAGATGTTTTACTGTCTATAGAATGTAAAAGCAATTAAACTAACAACTCAAATGTATGACAAACGAGATGAATTCAGCTTTTTTTTTATCGTCAACTTCCCTTATTTGAGTGTACTTTAATTTTATATTATTTTACATATTGCAAATTCTTGTATAGTTCTTTAATTCAATTTACCTGACAATTACATTATTATTTTCCCTAATTTTTCGCACTTCAACATTAAGATAACAATATAAGTGTACATAATTACATAACATAAACATTGCGGATTTTTATTAAACATCCATTAACTGATTCATTCTTCTCACTCAGAGTTTAATTTTCCCGGAGTACTATCAATTTTTGATTCAACGCATGCTACTCATTGATAAATTGATGTTACATGAATTTCAACATCCACGTTTAAAGTCGACATTTCGTAAATCTTATGGTCCTATAATGACCTTGTTAGCAATTTAACCTTACATTGGGTCGTATTTTAGGCTGAAATGTTTCATAGAATTGTAAGTCCTGAGGTTTTTTGTCCCCCGCTTGAAAAGTGGGGGATATTAATTTGGGTCTGTCCATCCGTCCGTCCGTCCGTCTTTCTGTCTGTTTGTAACGCTTTCGTTTCCACACGATATCTCGAGAACCCTTTGAGCTTTTGCAATGAAAGTTTGCAAAGCAACTCCCTATGGACTAAAGAAGACCCCTATTGATTTTGAGGTCAAAAGATCAAAGGTCAAGGTCATAAATTCGCAAATTCTCTCTGTTATAACACTTTCGTTTCCGCGCGATATCTCAAGAACCCTTTGAGCTTTTGCAATGAAATTTTACATAACAATTCCCTGTGGCTTAAGGAAGACCCCTATTGATTTTGAGATGAAAAGGTTAAACTTCAGGGTCATTTAAGAAATAAACAACGTTATTCAGTGAACATAGCGTTATGAATAGCAATTGATCTGCTGGCATATTCTATGATGCGCGCTAGCGCATCATGGAAAATATGCCAGCAGAGCTATTGCTATTCATAATGCCATGTTCACTGAATAATCGTTGTTTATTACTTATATTTGCATTCTTTGATTTATTCAAAAATATCAGAGGAAATCCTGACTTACATAAGGACGCAGATTCTTGTCTTCAGTAATGAAAAACATACGGCTTTAAAATCAGTACCCCTGATCAATGATACTTTTATCTAATAAATCACAAACAATTATAAAGTATTTCCCTCTCAAACACAGTTATCTGGATACAAGCAGCGCCGTCAACACATTCTCTTAATTTTTGTTTTGATGCAGTTGTGACGTCATTGATCAACGTTACTGAAACCCTCTAAGAAAAATCAACGATTTAACACTATGATGAAAAATGATAATGCTTTTATAATGATTATTACTCCAGAATGCTTTTCTATTTTTTTTTTAGTACTTCTATTTATTTTTAATAGCTGAAATTATTCTTGAAGTCGATATACTAGTTATACTAGCTTTCTGAATGTTATTACCCAAGTGTGAAGAGTTACCGTTCTTTGAACAAATATGCATGATACAAAAAATAAAAATAGGGCAGTTTTCTACAATTTTTAAAAAGTTTTATTATACAATTAAATACATTGAACAAAATTAAATTTTTAAAGATATAAATCAGCAATTTTAATTATTCTGAATTTCTTTTTTCTCAAAGAATATTATTAAAAACTTATTTTTATTCCATTTACGAAAAGCTTCATATATATACTTCTCGACACAAAGAATAAGTGTAGTAGAAATTGTTCTACAGGAATTAGATAGAGCAATCGCTCTCATAGCAGAAGCAGTTGCATCTATAGTCCTATGAACGCAATTGGTACCCACATGTTCATAGTGGGAGAGAGCAGTGGATATGCAAATATAAGTGTATATATTCTGTTTGTGTGTAACATTATTGTCTCCGGGCGATATTTCAAGAGGATTTTGAGCTTTTGCAATGTAATTTTACACCAAAAGTCCCTAGGATCTCTCTCACCCCTCTCAAAGTGTCCCGCCCGTTTGTTTTATTAGTATTTATTGTATTACATGTCGCTATTTTTAGCACAGGGGCATGAAGGAGAGTTATTATAAAACAGGTTCTCGGCGGAGTTTTTATTCTTATCACATTTATTAGAACTGTTAAATAAAAGTTAAGTAGACACCATTCATTAAGTACAATTTTGACAATATCGAACGTGAATATACACATATATGTGACCTAATGTTTGCATATAATTTTCGCCATATCAAAGCGGCTCCGTGGTCTAGTGGTATGTCTCTCGCTTCACAGGTGAGAGGGCCAGGGTTCACATCCCGGAAAATCCAATTTTTTTTTCGAAATACTTTTGTTTTACTAAATGATAGTATTCAGTATGTGAAATGAAAAATTTATGAGGTCTGGCTTGTACAAACTCATAAAATCATCATTACAGTGTAATAAATATTCCATATAAAAAGAATCTTCTACACACATAATAAAGAATAATCAATCAAACCTTTATATCCATATTGGCATATTTTATTTGCTTCAATATACATTTAAGAGTCAAAATCAGCAAGCATCGAGCATTTAGTTAAAAAAATGTGGAAAGTGGCATAGAAACAGATTTGGTTCAAACTCATATATAAATTTTCAGAACAAAGGGTATGATAGAAAAAGCGAGCAAAAAATAATTTTTCGCATTGTTGCTATGGAAACCACGCGCCTTTCAGATAGCGTGTTTTGTACTTTATCATGACACTTGAATTTATGGTTAAACAAATACTTTTTAATTACTAGTCATTAAAAAAAGCTTTTTAAATTATTATTTTATTTATATAAATATACTCTATTTTAGCAACTGTTGATTTTTGAAATTCTCTTCACCTTTTGATTTATATAACTAGTTTTGGAGGTTTATTTTGCTTTAAAAAACAGCAAATTTGAAGTACTTTATAAGAAATCTACAACCACATTAAAGCTTATCAACATAAGATATTTATTCAACAGTATTTCTTCTAGAAGAATCAAGAAAAAAATCTGCAGGCAACTAAAGCATTTATATATGATAACTGATTTAAATCCACAATTTTCTGTAACTTTTGCTTCAAATTACCTCCCTTTGGTGTAGCTCTCTAACATAGGAGGAATAAACGGTAGTTTGCTTACATTGTTTTCAATAACAATGTATAGAAGACTAGCAGAAAATTACAATATTGGAGCAGTCTGAGCCTCAGTTTTGGCGTTTTCATGAGTCTTAATTACGGTGAGTGATTGAAATTTTTACAATTTACCATTACAACAGTTACTGAAGAATGTATAGCATAAATTAACCATGCAATAAAATATCTAACACTTGGCAGGTGTTTTTGCACATTTTAATTTAATTCTGATTAATTATGTTAGCATTACTTTAATATTTTATAACAAAAAAGAAAAGATTATGCATGGCCTGAGGAACCAGGAAGAGGGGGGTATCCCCCACAAATAAATATAGCCGATATTAAACTATAATATATGAGCAAATGAAATTAAATCCCCCAACTTAGATTGTATCTACGGGCCTAACGTGAAAAAGTTGGTCATTATCAGTCACATAACTTTATCCCAAATTATAAAGTTTAATTTGAATTTTGTTTAATTTTAATTTGTTGTATTCACGGTATGTATGTAGCCAAAGTCACTCACCAGCTATAATAAATTTAACTTTATTGATGGTCGGGTAAATAAAAATTTTGTATATACGAGGGTTGTCCCATAAAATCGTGGACAAAACGTTTTTCTCGAAAAGTAATGGGCGCACTAAGCTGAAATTTTCAGTAATTGTTTATTTATCATATTTAAGTGCATGATAATTTTTTTGATAAAATATAGGCAAAAATAAAGATTTCATTATGCTTGAATGTGCACGGGGTATTGTCCTACGGCGCAGGGACAAAAAACCAAGGTTTTATTAAAGAATACACAAGTTTGAATTCAAAATAAAAGTTTTAAATACGTAAGATTTGGATTAAAATTATCCTAATTCATTTGCACAATCAATTTTGTAGTCTTTGTAAGAATTTTAAGGCATTTGGTTAATTTTTAGCAGTTTCTCGAGCATTCGAAAGGGGAAAGTGGTAAACACAACACACGAAAAATGGAGACGTTTTATGACGTTACGGCGCACCGGAGAGCAGTTCCGTTTTAATTCGATGTTGTAATGACACCTTTAGAGACTTGAAATGACCATAGAAGGAAAAAGATTATAAAAATGTCACCATATCTTAAGTATACAAATGAAATAGGAGTTTTCTTAGCGAAGTCTTATTCGATCGAGTCCCTTGGGAGTACAAAACATACGGACAAACTCCTAATGTTAGAGCAAAAGACGCTGTCACAGTAGACCGCCGATATGAGATTTCTATTAGTTGAATGATGGTGAGAATATTGTCCGTAACTTACTGATAAATCTTTAGAAGATCGCATGAGGGTGCCAATTGGTTCTTCGACTGTTTATGGAGACTAAAGAATGTGTATCAATGAAACTCCTAAATTTAAGTCGGACTCATCCAACTTCATTTTCAGCAGAGATAAAACGTGACGCTATTTTAGACACTTTGACGTTATAATCCATGCGCCGTAAGGTGATACAATACATGGCATAAAATCACATAATTTGTTTATTTATGCATATATTTATCTGAAACTTGCTGTGTATATTACTAAAATATGTACTAAATAATAATAGTGAAAATTTCAGAACGCAGTGATGTTTATTTTTTACACTAGACAACTTGTCCACGATTTTACGGGACAACCCTCGTACATGTAATAGTAGATATCTTTATTTATTATTTAAGATAATACCTGCTTTTTACATGAAAAATTATGAATTTATGAAAACCAACACTATTATGAAATATTTGTAAAATGGAATGACCTTTGTTGTGGCGTCCGTAAAAAAGAAAAAGAGAAGGGGGCAGGGGGTTAACTCTGTACTTAACATATTTCAGTTTAGGAAAGGGGATTACCTTGGAAGTATTATCATACAGACAAATGTATTATGTACTGTAGTGGATTAGTGGTAACTGAATTGTATATATATACCACAGTAAAATAATTAATAAAAAAAAAAACTTTTTTTAAGCTGTTGTCATCCAGTGTTTACTCATAAAAGAAAATTCATATTCAGCTAGCATTTTCTCCGTACCACCGAACTAATTTAAGTCAACTGGGTTCAAACAATAAGCATCATGCATTAGATTTAAAGCACGTAAATTTATGAAATGAATATCTATACTCCATTTTTTTTTCTTGAAGAGGGGGGGGGGGTTTATTGGAAAGAAATGAAAAGCATGATTTAGAGTTTTGACAAAACCTAGAACCAATTGACCTTTTTATTGCAAGTTTTTAAATTTAAAGAATATCTAAAATCAATGTGCCATGGTCTCAACTTTGTGTTGCATACTTCTTTTTTTAGAATGAAATTCGGCACTTTGAAGCCAAACTCGGAAAGAAGCGGAAACAGAATTGAATGAGCTGATATAGAATTAGACAGGAAAAACATGTAAATAATACATTTAGTAAAAACGTTAACTTTTTAAAATAAAATGATAAACCATTGAGATTTCTTAGAATTTAGTTGATTCCAATAAACATGCTTTGCATTCATCATAATTCCCCAAGCTTAACTAGAAATGGTTCTAAGTATACTATATGACGGCAAAGCTGTATAATAATATTTTTATATTTTAATTTTATCACTTTTTTCAGATTATGAGAATACATTATTACAGTACAGACCATTGATGCTGGAAGTGAGTGGATAGTGTTACCGGAGACTCAGGGATCCAGAAAATAGATCCATAAATTGTACAGTGTATTCATGAAAGTGGATAAAATAAATGTTCAATCCAAGAGTAACATTCTTTGTTTGTCTGTTAGCATTTTTTATTGATGTAAATCTAATAACTATCAATTTTTAGCATGCAGATTCATAATCATTAGATAGTAGAAGAATCTGAAACATATCTTTATATTCTGCATTTTGAAGTATCATAATTAAAACAAGGTCAATATCAAATGATCAATCAATTAATTTCAAAACTGACAAAATGTTTTTGTGAGAAAAAAGAAAGAGCGCTTATTTATATATTGTTCCTAATGTACCACTGATGTTGGTGTGAGTGAAATAAAAATGATGATGATGATGATGAACTTGTTTAAAGTCTGACGACACGTTCCTCAAATATATGTTTTGTATCTCTAGGTATTATATCTGTAACAGGAAAGGAGAAAATGTATGGCTGGACCGGGAATCGAACCCGGGACCCCTGTATCTCTAGTCAGGTGCTCTACCAACTGAGCTATCCAGGCCGATATCCACGGCCCCAACCATTACATTCCTCCCTCCTTAAATGGTCTTCGCCCTCGAAGACGCAACCCAAGTTCTTATTGCCCCTGGCAGGACTTTCACCTGCAATTCCAGGGGTGGTCAACGGCACCAAATCTGTAACAGGAAAGGAGAAAATGCGTGGCTGGACCGGGAATCGAACCCGGGACCCCTGCACCTCCAGTCAGGTGCTCCACCCACCGAGCTATATCCAGGCCGATATCCACGGCCCTAACCATTACATATATATATATGTGTGAAATATTCATATTTGTCATTCTTTCTGATTTCTACATTGTTTTCAAAATGTTTTTAAATATAAGTACATTTGTACAACCAAAATTTTGATATATGCCATTTAAAGGATTTGCCCATTAGGGTTATTAATGAATATCTTTTAGGGTCAGTTCAAGTTTAGACATTCATACATATATATATATATATAGCCCTTCAAGGTGGGTTAACATCAGGTTATGTTGAGAAAAAAGTTTATTATTGTTAGCAAGCTCATAAAATGATACCCACCCTCCTGCTATTTCATTAAATGTTTTTTATTTCAAAAAAGGTCCAAATATTGATTTAAAACCTTTTTAAAATTTTGCTAGTACAGATATACATACCAAAAATGACTATGACATACATGTATACTCAAGTCATAGGTAGTAAAACCGTTGTATTGAGCACAAACTTCCAATTCTCTTCATTCGAAGTTAAATATGTAAATGTGCCAAACTCATATAGTACACTTTTACTGCAATGACCTTGAAAAAGCTATGTCCTTGAGTCAAGGTCAAACATGTCCAAATGAACTTTGTTCAAGGTCATGAAAAACCCACAGCTCAAAAATAATCCCCGAGATGAAACTTCAAGTCTTTTCATTAGAATGTTACAGAATGGGCAAAGATTGCACTATTCTTCTACCAATGACCTTGAACTTGTTCAAATGACCTTGGTTAACGTTTTTGACACATCTCTAGATCACAAGCAATCTTAATATCAAGTATGAACTTTCAGTTGCACTTCATTGAAATGTTATTGACAAGGCAAAATGTTACATACATATGGATGGGTGAAAAGGTGATTCCTACCCCCCCCCCCCCTCCTTTTCCAAGTATCGTTTGTGAGGAATATTAAATTCCTTTTGAAATTGAATGTGCATTTATTTATCAAGAATAGCAATATTATGAGTATGCTCTGATCAGAACCAATATGACCAATATATTGAACACTGTACATGTATTCAAATTACCCCCATCCCTTCAAAAAAAGCTTATTATTGCTAGATTTTCACACATTTTAAACCATTTGTAACTTTTTTCTACTAAAGTTGCCTGCAAATTTTATTGTATAGATATGACATATAGATAACCCCTAAGAAGATCACATCATTCATTTTTCCAACAGTGGTTGTAGATTTTGTGTATATAGTGATAAACATATGTAATTTTCTTCCAAATTTATAAGCATTGACGCCATGTTCTTTTCCCGTTGTCATGGCAACAATATCACTAAAGAAATTTTGTTTTTCCTTTTTTTTTGGAACCCAAATATCTTATCTTATCACGTTCAGAAAACATATTCATAGAAAAATGTCAAAAAATCATTGATTTTCATAAGGATTTATGAACCCGTTGCTAAGGAAATGAATTTCCTTGGATACCACTCCCTTCATAGGTTCGAAAAAATTTTTAATTGTGTTTTAGCATTAGGTAAGACAATATCTTTCATATACCAAAAGCTTTTGAAAAAATAAAATTTTGACTTTCCACTCAATGCTCGATGCTTGCTGATTTTGACTCTTAATAATTCTACAAATTCAGTCAAGGGGATCATAACCCACCCCCGACCCCCGAACTGCGCATGGTTTACTTTTTCCCTAAGCGGGGGACACAGATTCTCTGAATTAGCTTGTTTTATACTGAATTAACTACCGAAAGTTCCGTCTTCCTAACCAATACATAGGAGTCACGAGGGGTATTAAAGGTCAAGAGGGGACGCTTAATCCTCATACGTACCCTGATCCACCTCTGGTATTTCCAGGGATCCGTGTTTTATACCCTCTTCACATATTTTTATTGTTTATAGAATTTTTTGAGATTGATCGTTGTTCGTTGTCTTTACCATTATCAATTTGCTAAAATTAAGTCTTCTTTGCAGGCCCTCAGGTTCATCAAAGATTCTTCGGGGATGCTTTGTTCTGCTGTTGGCTGCCATTTTATTTTACTTCATTGCTTTAGCATCCCCTTATTGGGTATACAAATCTGAAGGAGACCGATTTACCAGCCTTGGTGTCTGGAATTATTGTGATAACAATCTAAAAGTGTACAAGGACGTTGATTATCAAACCTGGTGTGCGAGCGTCCTTAGTTACCCATACCTGACGTCGCTTAATTCTGGTAAGAAAGTAAAGGTAGAATGCTTTAAGAAAGAACATAGATCCTTAATGCTTAAATAAAATAATCAGCAAAAAGCAATACCCTATATCTCACTTTAGTTCACATAGTCTCATTCACTGTTAAAAACATGAAGGTTTTATGCTATAAATAAGATTTTATTTTCATTTTTTAAAATTAAAAATCATAAATAACCGACTTTTAAACAAATAGCTTCGAGAAGGCAGTATTTCACTTGTATTAATCTGTGCGAAATCTTCAGTTCTTCAGATAGAAAAAATATTGATATATTAAACATATATTTTCATGGATTTTATTTGTCTATTAGGTTTGCTGAGGACTCTACAGGCAGTGGCAGTCATAGCGTTGTTTCTATTAATAACAGCAATATTTGCCTTGGGTATAAAAATGTTTCAACTGAAAGACAAAACCATCTTATTGGTAGTGAGCATGATTGCCAATGCTGTTGCAGGTATGTGATAAACCACTGTGTCACAATATTTAAGTCTTATAGGGAACTTGCAATGAAAAATGGAGATATAACAAACATCTACGAAGCTCAAAGGTCAATAGCAACAAAGCAGACCAGAAGGAGAGCAAACACAGGCCTCCTAAAACATCAGAGGTGGGATGAAGTGCCATGGAGGAGTAAGCGTCCCCTGTAGATCGGTCATAAGCGCAGTGTGCTCATTAATAATAATAATAATAATAATAATAATACTTTTATTTATTTATTTATTTATTTAGAGAAGGTAACCCGATTAGTGCGAACACTAGTCTTCCTCGGGGCCTTCTTTAAAAAACACATATACAATGCATATATACAATAGATAAAATTACAATTATGAGACAATAAAAAATCAACCAGTATGTTACAAACAAATAAAAAAAAACCATCAGCATTTCAGTATAGAGAGAAAGAAAAAAAAATCACACAGAATCATTGCGTTTTATAAGCAGAAAATTTTCAACACTTCTTTTAAATATTGCAGGGGATTGAGGATTTCTGATATTAATTGGTAACTCATTCCAGATAATAACCCCTGAATATTGTAAAGAATTTTTAAATAAGTTTGTTTTATATTTTGGTAGTCGAAGTTCGGAATTTGTTTCTGAGCGTAAAGTGTATGATCCAGAACTTTGAAATTCAAAAAGATTATGCATATAATCAGGAGACATTCCATGAAATATTTTGTACATTAAAATGCTTTTCTGTAAATATAAAAGTTCATAAACTGTTAGCCAACCTAAAGTGTTAAATAAAGGCGTTGAAGGTGTATCATATTTTTCATTTAAAATAATCCTAGCTGCTTTTTTTTGTAATCTTTAGATTCTGTCCATGTGTGTTTGAGGACAATTGCCCCAAATGGATAGACAATATAAAATCGATGGCAGGATAAAAGCATTATAAAATAGTTTTCTAGTACGCATTGGAAGAAACTTTTTGATTTTTCGTAAAGTAAATAATTTATATGTAAGAGTTTTGCAAACTGCATCTACATGACAAGTATATTGAAGATTATGATCAATGTGAACACCTAATAATTTTTGCATTTCTACATTTTCAAGGGGATGATCGGAAAGTTGTAAATGAAAATCAACGTTTTCTAATTTAGATTTCTTTTGGTGTGTTCCCATTAACATACACTTTGTTTTATCAGTATTTATAATCATCTGATTTTGTTGACACCATTTTTGTATTTGACAGAGTTCATGATTAAGAGTGGTTTCAATACGCGAAATACTATTATCATGAAGATGCATTGTAGTGTCATCAGCAAACATATCAATATTACAATGTTCAAAAGACAATGGTAAATCATTAATATACAATAGAAACAACAATGGACCTAAAATAGAGCCCTGAGGCACACCTGCTGTGACTGGCAGTGATTCAGATGTGTACGCACCAATTTTAACACTTTGAGTTCGATTATATAAGTATGATTTAAACCATTTAATTGATATTGGCTCAAAGTGATAGCATTCAAGTTTTTTAATTAGTATATCATGATTAACAAGATCAAATGCTTTGCTAAAATCTAGACATGTAATACCTACAACATTTCCTTTATCTATTGCATGCAACCAATCATCAGTTAGTTTTGTGAGAGCTGTCTGGCATGAGTGAAGTTCTCGAAATCCAGATTGTGCTTTCATTAGCAAGTCAAAGTGAGAAGTAAAGATGCGTATATTTTCTGCTACATGCTTCTCCAAAACTTTCGATATCGTTGGTAAAATCGAGATTGGACGATAGTTTCCTGGGTCTGATTTATCGCCCTTTTTAAACAAGGGAGTTACTTTTGCGACCTTTAACTGTGAAGGAAAAGATCCATTGATTATGCTAGAATTTATTAAGTGTGTTAGAGGTTTGGATATTATACTAGCTGACAGTTTAAGCAATCTAGGTCCAAGAAAGTCTATACCAGCAGATTTGTTTACATCAAGTCTTTTTAACATTTCGAATACCTTTTCTTCATTAATCAAAGGGATTTCAAAAAAGTCTTGATCTCCAAGTTTTGTCTCCGTGTATCTTTTCAATTTTTCTGATTTAAAAGCAGTAAACGAAAGATTATCTATTAATTTTTTTGGAATTTGGGCAAAATGCTCATTAAATGCATTTGCAATATCTTGTAGATTATCAAGATCTAAACCGTTATATGTTATATTGGAAGGAGACGAGTTTTTGTCTGATTTCGAGGCTAACTGATTTAAGTGGCCCCACATTTCCTTTGAAGTAGAACTATTTTCAATGACTTCCTTATAATATGTAGATTTTGCATTATTTATTAAAGATGTGACTTTGTTCCTCCAATGTCTAAAATTATCCATGTCTCCCTCTTTATAAAATTGATCTCGAAAATTCCTAGCATTATTTATTTCTGGAGTTAACCATTTAGTGCGGAATTCTGATTTCACACGCTTTGTTTTTACTTTTGCGTGCTTACTGATTATAGTATTGAAAATATCATAAAAACCGTTTAAAATGTCATTGGGATCATGCAGTAGAATTAATTCATCAAAATTTGCATTGTTTAAATCATGCAAAAAGTTTGTTTCATTAAAATTTTTGAAATCACGGTATTGTATTTCAATATGTTTGCCTTTTCGTTGCATGCTGTTAGATCTTCGTGTGGCACATATAGGATAATGATCAGACATCATTTCAGGGGGTACTGCTATTTCACAAATGTTAGCAGGGTGCGTAGTGTAGAAATGGTCAATAAGAGTTTTAGAGCTATTAGTAATTCTTGTTGGGGTGTTAATTAATTGTGTTAATCCAAAGTCTACAATTGCAGAAGACCAACTCCGCGGGGTTTCTTTAAGCATATCAATATTGAGATCACCTGCAATAATCACTTCCTGGTCGTCACAGCAGGTAGCGCACTGTAACTCTTGGACAAAATCATCTACCCAGCAGGAGGGGACAGATGGTGGACGGTAAACTGAACAATAAAGTATAGGTTTAGAATTTTTAAGATTAATTTCAAGCCACATTGTCTCAATATTGCTAATTTCTAAATCCTTACGGCGTTTATATTTCAAATCATTTGAAATATAAGTAACAAGTCCACCACCAGCCTTTCCTACTCTGTCTTTTCTTTCCAAACAATATCCTTTTACATTTATACTACAATCATTAATATTTTCATCAAGAAATGTTTCACATAAGGAAAATATATCAGTGTAAAGCTGTTCTTGTAAATACAAAACCAATTCATCTAATTTTGGCATAATGTGACACACATTCAAATTAATAAAATGTAGGCCCTTTTTCATTAAACCAAGATTTGATTTACATATGTTTTGTTTTATTTCATTTGAGGTATCTGGTTTTGGAGAAGAATTTTTAGGATTTGTTTGTTTAAGATTCGAAAAAGTGTTTTCCTTATTAAAACAAGTATCTATCAGTTCTGATGTAAGATTTAAATCATTTGAGCAATTATTAATTAAAGAACAGGTGCAAATTAATTCGTTACAGTCAAAACAGAGATTATTCAAAGGATCAAAATAATTTTTGACATTGATAGTGGGACAGTTATTCGTATCACCGGCACAGCTTTGATTGCCGTGACCCTATCTGGTACAAAACTTTTGTTTGTGACCATGCTCACCACAATACCAACATACAACTTTGTTTCCATGTCGGCAGTTTCGCGAGGAATGGCCTTGCTTTCCACAGTAAAAGCATGTTTGCACAGATGAGGGCCTTTGTTGCTTAAGGATTTTCACATGGGTATTGTACAGCTTGAGAAGCAAGGAAGTACCGCGATCAGACAAATGAATGCCATCTCTCCAAAAGGAAGGGGAATTCCAGTGCTTGAATGATCCGCTGGTCTCGATAAGCGTAGCACCATACTCCTCACAGATATACTTTATGCACTCATTAATTTCAGTAACATCCGCATCACACCTTGGCATCACTTCTGATATGAACACGGAAATGGTATGATTTCTCCTCTTAAGATCTGCGATGATTTCAATGAAATCTGAATCGCATCGATGTTGCGCAGGTTAGCTACATCATTACCGCCGGCCTGGATGATGACATTTTCGATGGCAGATATATCATATCTTTGAAGTTTTGTACGGATGTGTGATATGTTAGCACCACGATTAGTACTAACATTCACACTCGAATCTAAGCCGCGGGTTTTGATTCGTTGAAGAATAGAACTTCCGATGACCAGGGTAGTTTTTTGGGTTCGTTCTCTTGTAGAAATAAATGGAGAATTCGAAATCCTGGGGAAGTTTCCTCGTTCTTTAGGAGTCGATGAAGGCTGGAGGGATGTAAATTAGGACTGTCCTTTGTCGCCATCATTTTGTTTTTCTGTGTGGGTTGCGTGTTTTTCCATACAGAACTGGAATCCATGGTATCTGTTGATGTACTGGTAGTTTTTTTGTCAACACTAAATGAGCATTGGCTGTGTCGCGATATACCAGTTTTAACAGATATTCCTTCGGTCGATGTTGCCTTTTGTTTCATCTGTGTTCTCGGAGTCTGAGTGAAGGCGTTGGCACAGGCTTTTGTTTGTCGTGCATCCAAAAGCTGTTTCTTTAGAAGATTTACTTCCTGTGTCAGCAATTTAACAGTTTCAGAAAGAAGTTGTACATTTTCTGAGCTGCTACACTGGTGGCAATCTATCTCCACACTTGATTCATTTTGTTTTGAAGGTCTTGGAGTTGATGTGCAGCTTGGTTGATTGACAATAATCTTGCAATCTGTCAGAGAGTCATTTTGGCTGATGTCAATTTGACTTTTAACTTCTTCCAGAAAGTCATTTTGGTACCATTCAAATGCACCATAGCGTTGTTTCTATTAATAACAGCAATATTTGCCTTGGGTCTAAACATGTTTCGGCTTAAAGACAAAACCATCTTACTGGTAGTGAGCATGATTGGAGGTATGTGATAGACCACTGTGTCACAATATTTAAGTCTTATAGGGAACTTGCAATGAACGTTATAGAGATATAACGAACACTTGCGACGCTCAAAGGCAACAATGCAGACCAGAAGGAGAGCAAACATAGGCCTCCAAAAACATCAGAGGTGGGATTAAGTGCCATGGAGGAGTAAGCGTCCATTAGCATCCGACTTAATGGATACCCCCCCCCCCTCAATCCCCAGCGTAAAAAGATTTAAATGGTTAACAAAAATAAGAAAATTAGTAAAGCTACGCATTTTACTTTTCATTTTGATGATTGATTCCAATTATACACTTAGCCCTCTGGTGTCGTTTATGACCATGCGATGTATTCATGATTTAGAGATAGTAAAGTGAAATATGTAAAAACAAGTTAAAATTGGTGTCATGGAAAACCTAGTCAAAATTTCTTATTTGGGATGAATTCTGTGATTCTTTTGTGGTGTATAAATTTTCTTTTAATTTCGAGATACATGTAGCCTGGCCAGTGTTAGATATGCATATCCACTTCTTTAAAAGGAATACTTGTGCAAAATAAAGAAGTATTCAAATTGATCTTTTTTTCTTTTTCAGTCTTCTTCCTCCTCGTTATAATAGCTGGAGTCGCCGGAGCTTTGCCTCTGATTCGGACAGTTGTACCAGGCGGCCATTTACATTTTTCTTTTGCCTTTGCTGTCCTTGCAGAGTTTGCTTGTATTGTTGGAGAAGTGCTCATGTGTATCGAAAGATGCACTATTAGAAATTAATTTTACGCATCAATTTGAAAAGATATTTCATCAGTCATTAACGAAAATAAAAAAAACCAAAGCCTCGTAAATGAATATATCGTTGATTCTTGTTTCTATGTACGGGATTCAAAAATAGTTCTAAGATTAGTTTATGTCTATTTAAAAAAAAGGAGAGAAGAAAACAGATGTTATCAGTGCTTAAGTATTTAGAAGTAATTGTGAAAAAATTGCTAAAAAAAGAGAGAGATGCAGGATCTACTACTAGTATTAGTCCAAAGACTCAGACTGGCACAATATGCCAACATGAAAACAATACATTAACCATACGTATGCAATGCAAACAATCTTTAATTTTATTCTTGTCTTATTTTTGTATGTTTTTTATGAAACAGTACATCTAACAAACATTTTAACGCAATTGTCTTACCATATTTTATATATACCATGTGTATTATTCTTTCTGTTATTGAACTCGTATTGCCAGATTTTCCTAAGAACTAAAGTTTTGCTTCATTATGATATATAAAATAAAACAATTGAATACATACTTCTTATAATGTTATTCAGTTATAATAACAACTATGCAAATATGAAACAATATTTTAGGTATTCAACATTTTATCCATTTTCTTCACAAAACTTGTGTAAATGAATAAAAATCACTTACTATAGTCGCCGCAAATTCCCTGTATTGTTAGATATATTTCCTGAAGTATTTCATACATTTTGACTCATAAACCACAGGCGATTGACGTTTTTAACCTTTCTTTTCATAGATAAAAAACTCCCCATACTAGAATAATTGAGGGATTTTTTATCTATGAAAGAAAAGTTAAAACGCCAAACTAAGGAGTCACTTGTTTATAAAGGAAATTTAATTTTATTATTAAAAATTAAAAGAATGTTAGTTTAAATAGTGTTTCAAACACACACCCCCAGTACATATACACGTATCTTTCTTATAGCCGTTAGTAGAGTTAAAAAAAATAGCTGATTCAATTTTGAATTTTAAATTACAATCTTTTTGTTAGTCAGTTTGAAATTCAGAGAACCTAGATTTTAAAACAATTATTAAAAAATAAAGGATTTTAACCTCTTATTCATTTGTCAGAAAAAAATGTTCGATTGCTGTTCTTGAAAAAAAATCTTTAAAAGAACTCTTCTCTATATCTCTTCATTCATTAAACATCAAACCGCTATTCTGGTACCGACTATGCTTACTCCTGAGATGCCATTAAACTTAAATTATTATTGTATGATTTCATTTCAAACATTATTTCACATCTCCATAATAAATCAATTAAATCGTAAGCGGAATTTCGGAGAGAAGAAGGTGTGACGGAGGAACAGGATAACCACATAATATACCAAACTAAACCTTGCCAAAGATATGTTAAACAGACAAACAAACGAACGAACACCTAAATGTAATCAATAAAATTAAATTCACTGATTTATTTCTAAATGCATTAGTGTTTTCGTTTGTTTTGTTTTTTTGTTTAACGTCCCTTTCGAGAATTTTTCCTTCATATGGAGAGCTACCACTTGCCGATGAAGGGCTGTAAATGTACCGCACATAACACCAGGATCAATGAAAACTGAGGGTTCTTTTCCGTGCAAACACCTACGTCTAAACGGGACCTTGGTGGATACGATCTCATCCCGAAAGACCGGTTTCTACGTACAGCAGTGGGAGTTAAATCCAAGATGTAAAGATTCTTTCCTTGAATATCTTTTTCTTATCATGAAACATAAGATTAATAAACCATCAAAGAGCATTTTCTGTCCTTTAGGTCCTCTCATTACGTATTACAATATGATAAAATCAATCGTTATCTTTAGCTGCAGATTTTCAAGAGGAACATTCAGACCCTCGAAAAAAAAAACCGATAATGTTTCAAGACGCCCATAAAATTCCTCTAAGAGTCTGATCAATATCTATCACATCTGAAATTTTCATAAAAAAAAAAGATCAAGGCCTTCAATGGCTGCATGCATAAACAATAAGAAACAAGATGTGTTTGTAAAACACTGATATCCCCATATGGCAGCTTTTATGTACGGTTAAGTTTCTCAAATGCAAATCAAACTCCAAGGACAAGGGACACATTAATATGGCCAGGGTTTAGTTTTTCAAAGGTAGGTCAAACTCCAAGGTCAACGTCAAAGGGTCAAAATTGTTGATATCCAAACAAAGGTTTTGTCACAAAAATACATCAGTGAAATATGAAGGCCCCTTTCCTAACTGTTCAAAAGTTATGGCCAAGGTTAAGACAGAGGGACAAGGGCGAAAACTATCTACAATTTAGGGGGCATAAAAATTTGTTTAAATCGTATGGCCTTGGTTACATAATCAATTGAGAGTAACATAAGTAGAATATCCGATATACAGCATTGTCCATTGACTGTTTGAATGAAATTCGTTAAACAATGCCTACTATTGCAGTAAACCCATAATACCTCCTTAATTAACGTAAATCTATAAAATTAATTTTCTTTTTCCTACTCTTCAAAATAGATCTGTACATGAAATTTATATAAAATAATTATAAAAGCTAGGATTCTGACGATACTTTCTGAACATGTTATATCACCAGAAAGAAAGTGTTGATGCCTTGTACCTTACTACAATTGATATACATTTGAATGAATAACTGGGTTATCGTGACAACAGCAAGACTCTTTTTAAAGAGAAGCAATCTTTGACATCAACAAAATGATAAATCAATAAATCTGTCCCATTGATATTCTTATGGAAGCGTAAAAGTCTCTACACTTGTATTATAACTTGCCTTTATTTTATTATCTTATCAACATAAAAAGTGTCATAACTCCTTTTTATCCACATATTTTGAATTGTATTTTAGATGTTTTTAAAAGCGTAATTTAAGGCACCTTATTTTGTTTAATTGATTTTATTGCTTTATAGCTGTAAGTATTATCGAATTAAAAAATATTGATTTTAAAGTATTGATCAAAGCAAGATATTCAATCATTTTAACATAGTAATGTCGATATGTAAAAATAGATAGATAGTTATAACGATAAAGAAGTGAGAAAAAAATGTTATCAATTTAACTTTGCGGGGCGGGAATTCTAATGAATCTTCATTTCACTTTGGATTCAGTAAAAGTTCCTGTACCATGTATTTGCTTTCGTATACGAGTTTAGGCTTATACAGGTTTGAAAATATTTTGAATAAGGGGGATGGAGAGAGCAGTTAGATCATGGACATACGGAAGCATAAAGGTCTCTACACTTGTTGTGTTATAACTTTTATATTGTCTTATATTTCATTGTCTTATCAACATATATAGTGTAATTAACCTTCTTTTATTTAACTGATTTTATTGCTTTAAATTTTATCAACTCAAAAATTATATTGAGTTTAAGATATCGATCAAAGCAAGATATTTAATTATATCAATTTACTATTGTCGATATGAAAACATAAATGCGATTTATGTTCATAAATAATTTTATGCCCATTTCTTGTGTATTGAAAGTGGGACAAGCGAGATAACTCTAATATTTTTGTGTATTTTTGTATAAATTAGGCATACACGCAAACATCCATTTACAGAGATGAGTACTGGTAAGAGGCCAGCAAGGAAAGTAAAAAGAGATGCAAGTAGCACCAGGGACGAACATAAAGAGTTAGTAGCTGCCTTAGTCCCAGAAGTAACAAAAGGAGTTATGACAGCTCTACAGGCTATGGGGGTAGTTCCAAAGCCAGTTAATCCACAACAAGTGGAAGTCGCCAGTGACACTCCGACAAGCAACAATCATTCAAGCCAATCAGGAGATGGCAATTTACCAAGTAACTCAGGTACTAATGAACAAACAGCATCTAAGGAGATATCACTTAACGCAGAAGTTAAGAATCCCAGTATCACTAGGCCATTGGGTCTCGGTGTAGATTCTAAGATAAAAAGCAAAATCTGGGGAAATGAATTTGTTGATTTTGGAAATTTGTTAGGGTTGTAAAATAAGAATAATTATAAAGGTTTTAAAATCAGTGAAAACTTGGAAGGGGAATGTGAGATCAAGCCCAAAAAGCAAACTTATGAAATTAGAGCAATTACCCAATGGGTCCAGGCCTTCTTTGTTTTCGTGGGTATTTATACTGAAAAGTCCCCACAGGAAGCCCCAGCATTAATGAAATATGGGGATATGGTACAAAAATTAGGGAAGCAGGTAGGGGATGAGGCAGCAATATATTATGATAAGAACTTTAGGGAGTGGCGAGCAACTAACCCGGGATCTTTCCCCTGGGACAAGTTAAATTCAGAAATCCATAGTGAGGCCTTGGCTATCAGTTTGGGTAAATCCAAAGTGGGTCTAAATTCTGGTTTTGTTGGGAATAAAAGATTTACTTCAACCTCACCTCAAGCATCTCAGTCCTTTCAAGGCTACACAACACCAAAATACCCCTGCTATAGTTTCAACAATAGGGGGCTCTGTAGTAAAGAACGCTGCCCTTACACACATGCCTGTCAAAAGTGTGGAGGAACACACACAAAAAAGCAGTGTAACTCTGGGAAAGCCCAAACACCTTCAAAATCAATTGACTCTTCACAAACACGTAGGGCAGGAAAAACTACATGTATCTTCAAATCTGCTAACGAAAAATAGTGTTGTTACCCCAATTAAAGCAGACAGGCTAGACTATTGGTTGAAGGGTTATGATAGAAACAAGCAGAAATATTTAGTGGAAGGTTTTAAAGTTGGGTTTAAAATTCGTTTTGAAGGTCAAAGAATTTTTAGAGAGAGTGATAATTTAAAATCAGCTAAGGATAATTTGGACATTTTGAAACAAAAGATTCAGATTGAGATAGACAACCATAGGGTAGCAGGTCCATATAAGGAAATACCATTTCAGAATTTTCAGAGTTCACCGTAAGGTCTAGTTCCCAAAAAGTCAGGGGAGACTATTGTTGATTATAGAGTTATACATCACCTCTCTTATCCTGAGGGCAGTTCGGTCAATGATGGTATTCAGAATAAATTCAAATCTGTTCAATATCAAGAGGTAGAAGATGCAGTAGGTTTAATGC